ATGCATACACTCACACACCCACACCCTTCTCCCACACATAGGTGTACCCTCACACCCAGCGCATGCTCACGACGCGTGTTCTCATCTCACACCTACTCTCCATCACACCTTCGCATGCACCCTTATGGACATATACGTGCACACACTTGCATAGGCTGGCTCTCATGCACATCGGCACCCCCCCCCACTTGCACACCCCTTTTCACATTCACACACTCACATTTGCCCCCTCTACACGGGTCATGGCACAACACACGCTTCATTCTGAATTTGGCTTTGGTTCGCTTCACCGTGTGCCTTGGGGACTGTTCCGTGTTGGGAGCAGAAAGCTGCCCGCTTCCGTTTTGTCTTTGGCTGAGCTGCATTCCGCCCTGTGGATGGTCCTTGATTGACTTACCAGTCATGCTCTGCTGATGCATGTTTTGCAGCCGCTTCCAGTCTTGGCACACACGTTTCCTACGTGGGCACGCTTCTCTCTGCAGGACGAGCCTGAGACATACCACTGCTGGGTCATGGGCCGGAGCTGTTGCTGGATGTCATCAAACCGCCCCCCAGGGAGGCTGTGCCACTTGGAGCACCCACTCCCTTCAAAACCATGCTGATTACAAACCTTTGGAAACTTCAAACTCCTTACTCCCCGTGTTCTTTTTAATTTGTATCTTCTGGAATCTTCTTTGTATTAATAAGAATTGGAAACTTTGAGACTTTCTTTTCCTTCCTTCCCTGCATCTTGACACATCCTGTATGCCAGGTGATTTCTAGACTCTGGAGCTGTCCAAATGAGTCACATATAGTTCCTGCTGCCGGAGGCTCCTAGTGTAGACATGTAAACAGCCATGACACAAGAGGCAATTGCCCGTGTGTGCATAGAAGCCACCCTGGCTAGGTGGGGGAGCAGAGAAGGACTGGCTTTAAATTGGGGAGCTGAGTCAGTCTGGGACGAGTAAGCTGGGAATGGAATGACCAACTTTCTCCCAGCCTTAGCACCAGAGGTCCATGTCCTGAAACCCCTTCAGGCCCACACAGAGTGGGACAGCTAATTCCCCTGGAGCAGTCCTGACGAGGAAGCAGAATAAAGAATGACTCTCTTTCTTTCAAGATTTTATCTATTTATTTGAGAGAGAGAGAGAGCACAAGCAGGGGGAGAGGGAGAGGGAGAAGCAGGCTCCCCCGCAGGGCAGGAAGCCCCTCATAGGACTCGATCCCAGGACCCCAGGACCATGACCTGGGCCGCAGGCAGATGCTTAATGACTGAGCCACCCTGGCGCCCCAGGAATGACTTTCTATGTGAAAGGCATGGTTTGCACAAGACGTGAGCTGCTTGGGGTACTAGGTGTTGGAGGGGCCAGTGAACCACCCGCTCACAGGAGAACACAAAAGAACATGCATATCAGATCTGGAGCCTGGGAGGCCGACAAAGTGACTGTGGCAAAGCAGGATCAGGGAGGGTGGTGGCTTATGAGGCTGGGGGAGGTGTTGAGGAAGAGGAATTCGGAAGACCCCATATGTGCTTGCCCCGTGGTGCCTTCAAAAGTGGGGTCCCCCAGGCATTTGAGCTGCAGAGCCTGTGCCCTGCAAGCTGAGGGTGCGGGGAGGTTGGTTTGCAGTGGGCGCTGTGAAGACGCGTTGGGAGTGGCGGTGGGAGTGGGAGCAGGGAAAGGAGAGGCAGTAAGAGGGACCAGCGTTCGATGCACCTGGCGGTTTGGGTGCTGGGAAGGGAGGAGGCCAGCTCAGGAAGCAGGCTAGTCCAACCCCCAGGAGTCCTCCGTGGGCTCTGTCTGGCCCTGCCCATTAGAGAAGCTTCTGGATTCCTCTTCGGAATACCTCGGAGAATCTGATGGATATCCTCCATCGGACACACCCCAGTTCTATTCCTGGCTCTGTCACATTCTGTCACATGACCCCTGAGCCTCAGTTTCCTTGCCTGCAAATGGGGAGGAAGGGACTGGCTCTGCGGAGAGCAGGAGGCGCTGTGTGCATGGCTGAGCGGGGGAGCTGCCCAACCAGGGCCGGAGGGAAGGTTCAGAGATGGAGGCGGAGCTGCTCCTGCGGGGCTTCGAGGCCAAGATGAAGAGTCCAGTTCTGATCGGGAAGGCCCTGGGAACTACTGGAGGCTTCATAGGGCGAGCTGCCAAGAGGTGGCCTGACTGGGCTTTGGGCAAGATCGTCCCGGCTGCTGAGTGGAGAACGGGCTGGAGGGGTCAGGAGTGGAAACGGGGGTGGGAGGCAGTCAGGTGGCTTCTGTGGACCTGGCTCAGGAGCAGGTGAGGGCCGCTGGGACCGGGGTGAGGGCAGAACAGAGCCACCTGCCCCCCACCTGCTCGGCCTGCCCGCTCAGCCCTCACCTGGCTTCGACACCTAGCTCGGGCACCTGGGGCACCTTCGCTGTCAGTCGGGGTGAAGCCCACTGACAGCTGAGGCGAGCACCTCCAACCCCCAGCCCTTCCCTTCTTGCTCCTGTTACAGTTCAGTGTGGTTTGTCTGGGGCGTGGGGAGCAGGGCCTTCAGCTGCCAGCTAGGGCTTCACATCCTCTGGTGGATTCTTGTAGGAGAGGGGGAGAGGGAGGAGGGAGAGAGGGGGGAGGGGGGGGTGAGGGGGAGATGGAGAGGGGGGAGACAGGGAGAGGGAGAGGGAGGAGGGAGAGGAGGGCAAGGAGACAGACCCACCCACACAGAGGAGGCACAAAAGGGGTCTTAGCCCAGGGAGTAGGACGGAATCCCTCCCACCGCACCTCGCTGGTGGGTCAGGCGGCCCCACCGGCCTCCCAGGGAGGCTGAGAGGTGGACCCCAGCAGATGCCCAGGAGTTGGGGCCCGATGGGTGACAGGGATGCTCCCACCTCTCTCTACCACCATGCGCGCCCCCTGCATGCTCCTACAGCCATCAGATTCCAGCTGGAAGATGCGGACAACAGGGTTGACACGCTCGTGTGGCCGCCCTTGCCGCTCCACCTCAGGGTTCCCGGCCTGAATTCCAAGGCAAGAGTGCGACCCCCTGGGCCTGGGTGGGGGCTGCTTCAAACTGCCTCGGCACGTGGCTGCACTGTGCCCCTTCCCGCCGGGCCCGTGGCTGGTGAGAACCACCCCCTCCTGCCCCTGGGCCTGGGCCAGTGGGCTCAGGCTCCTCCACCTTGCTCTTGGGACATCTGGGCTGCTCAGTAGATGTTTGCCGAATTGGATGGGGAACGAGAGAAGAGAAGAAGGATGGAGGAGGACCGTGGCAGAAAGGCCGTGCAGGGCAGGCCAAGGCCACCCCCACGGCCAGGCTGCTGGCAGTGGCTGCTTATCGCAAGCTGGGTCCGTGACTTCTCACTTTGCCTGGGGATATATTTTTTCTTTATGTATTTTTAAATACAGTTTTTTTTTTTAAAAAAGATTTGTTTATTAGCGAGAGAAAGAGCATGAGCAGGGGGAGCAGCAGAGGGAGGAGAAGCAGGTTCCCCACTGAGCAGGGAGCCTGATGCAGGGCTGGATCCCAGGACCCCAGGATCATGACCCAAGCTGAAGGCAGGTGTCCAACCAATTGAACCACCCAGGTGCCCCTTTTTAAAAGTTTTAACTGAAAGTCATTTTGGGGGCAGGAAATATGTTCAGGTGGTACCGATGGATCTACAATGAAAACATCTTCCTACCCCTTCCTGGCCTGGCTTTCCTTCCTGGGAGAACCAACATTCCCAGTTTCTTGAGAAGCTTCCAGAAACACTTTAGGCTTGATAAATCTCGGCTATTCTTTTCATCTTTGCTGTGGTTGTGTTTATTACCCACTCCTGCAGCCAGAAAGCCTTGCTCTAGGGAGAGGAGAGGTGGGGTTATTGCGAGCCCACTCAGCACAGGGACGGTTAGAGCCCTAGGGACACACATCCTGCAGAACCATCCTACCTCCTACTGCGGGGTGCACATTGCATGGGAAGGGAGAGTCTGCAAGCAGGCTCTAAAGAAGGCCTCGCTCTTCTCAGGGATGCAGCCCTCTTGCTTCTGCTTCTACTCAGAAGGGAGCCCACTGACTCTCCTCTCAGGGCCCACAGCGCTGCCCCTTAACTCCATGTGGACAGGAGGTTCTTTGGACCTGGGCTCTGACTCGCCTCCTGCCTGCCCCATCCCCTTCTTCCAAAGAGAGAGCAGCTTATGAGAACACCTGCCCCCCCCGTGCCCCCTCCCCCGCCGCCGAAGCAGGGTCATTAAAGTCAGGAGAAAGGGAACGCAGAGCTTCTTCTTCTTCTGGTTGCTTCTGGATAGAAACTCCCGGGCCCCTGGGCCTGGGACACTGTGCATGACACTTTCTAAAGAGCGACCCACAATGTCTCATCATTTGAAAAAAAAGTCCTGAGCAGTGGTGGGTGGGGATGGAAGGATTAGGGAGCCATGACTTGAAAGGAAAAGGAAGGTTCTAGAACGTTCAATAAAATGGCCATTGAATTATTTGCATCCCCTTGGAACATGGTCCCCCTCTGAATGCAAAACTAAGCAAGGGGCTCCCTGAAGGCTGAGCTCTCTGCAGGTCTCAGAGAGGTGGGTGGGATGGGAGTGAGCAGCACGGAGACACCTAAAAGGTCGTGTTTGTGTGGAGCCCAGGTGTTAGTGGGTGAGTGTGTGTGTGCGCGACTGGATCAAGGTGTCAGAGGCTTAGAGTGGCCTGTGTGAGATGGGCTGGGTGGTGTAGGAGGGGAAAGAAGGTGCTGAACCCCCCTAGGCTTCTATATGCAGCAAGGCGCCTATTTGAGAGTGATGGGGGGTGTGTGCATGTGGGCGCGGGCATGTGCGTGTGCGTGTGTGCGTGTGCTGTCAAGACACCCACGGTGCCCCACCTCCCCCAGTGGAGGAGGGAGATCTTTATCTGGCCCCTAGGTGCTTCAGGAGTTTCAGAGTTTCTCACCAGCCTGTCTCTCCCCGTCCCCACCCCAGGCCTTGCCCCCTCCATCCTCTGCACAGGAAGTGGGCTGGCCCTGGGGTTTTAGTGTTTGCCGGCCTCCTCAGCCAGCTGCTACCTGGGCTGCCGGAGTGGAGGAGTCAGCGCAGGGCCCCAGGGAGATGGCTGTGGACCCAGCAGTGGAGAGATCCCAAAAGAGCGCGCTGCGGTCCCATGTCTCAGCCAGGTGACTTTACCCTCACCCCTGCCCCTGTCTGGTTTCCGGGTACCTGGGGGCTCCCTCTTGGCCCTGCCATCAGCCCCTGGGCTGGAAGTGGTCATGGGACACTGTTAAGCTCTCACTTAGAGGCCCCAGGAGGTTCGGCCTGAACCCCCATCTCCCGGCTCTCCCATCCCCCAGCCCTATCTTGAAATCCCTCAAGGATGAAGTGGTCCTGATCTCATGGCTTTTGCCTTCTTGAGAAAAAAGCTGGCCCCTAGTTCTGGGCTATTCCTCCTTCCCAGCCCAACCCTGGGGAGGCTGGGGGCTGCTCTGGGATGAGGGGGCCTCACAACCCAAAAGCGGTGAGGAAAGACACAGGAGGATGGGGAGGGGGGAGGCCAGCTAAGCCCCAGAGGGCAGTGGGATGAGGGGTGGGGGGACACGCAAGCCCCCACCCGGCGGCTGTGGATGGCAGGGAAGCACCCCTGTGTAAAGTGCTCCTTGGGAGGCTGTGGGGTGGGAGAGGGGCGAGGGGGTCCTCTGAGACCTAGCCCTGAAATGGGATTTCCTCCTCTCTGGGAACGATGTGAGTGGGCAGGTCTGTAGGGTCTCCAGGCCCCACTGGAGGGGATGGGACTCCATTCCTGGGGCTGTCCTCTCTCCTGGGGGAATGAGGCCTCCCGCCCTGAACTGCTTTCGGAGCACCTCACAGATGGGGTGGCTGAGGGGCAGAGCCACCCCCTGGGGTCCCCTTCCTTACCCCACAGCTGGGGAGATGCTCCTGGAGGTAAACAACAAGCCCCCCACCCCTGTGTGTGGGATGATCAGGAGGACGAGGGGAGATGGTGCCCATTAAGGCCAGCGGTCTGCATGCCGGCCTCCTGCCTCTGGTCCCCCCGAACCCCTCCGGGGCACCCCACGGCCCACAGCATCAGCCCCGCGGCGGCAGTGGCGGGAAGGCAGGCGGTACTGACCCAGTTCAGCCCCCGCTCTGCCCCACTCTGGCCTGGGCGACAGGCTTACCGGCCTCGGCTCCTCCTTGTCTGAGAAAAGGAGTCATAATGGTACCCACTCCCAGGGCCGCTGTGGGGACTAAGTGAGCTGCTCTCTGTGGAGCGCTAGGGACCCAGGCACAGAGTGAGAGGCGAGTATTAGTCACCACCCCCGTCATCACCCCTGTCACCATCGTCATCCTCATTGTCATTATCATCTCCTCACTTGAAATCAGATGATGGGCTTTGAGTCCAGCTCTCTGGGCAATGCTGAGCTCAGTCTTGGGGGGTAACGACAGCCACCTTCCAGGGTTGCGGTGAGGACCTAATGAGTCAGTGAGCGCGGCTCTGCAGCTGTGAAAGGGCAGGCTGTGTGGGTGTGCGTGAGAACCCGGGCCCCGCCGTGCTTGCACCCAGAGGTCCTGCTCCTTCTCCCTGAGGCTGGGCCCGTGGCCTTGAGCAGGATCCCTAACCTCCCTGAGCCTCCTCAGTTCCTTGCTCTGCTGGGGTGGAGGGTGCAGCCCCGTGTGGGCTGGGGGCCCTCCCTGCCCCGACCAGCTCTGGCACAGCCCGTTCTCTCCTCTCCTTGCGCCCTCTGCAATCCTGATGTACATCGCGGCCCCTTTCTGCTGTGAGCGGCAGGGAACTCATTCTAGACGATGCTTCTGCTCTAGCCGGCTCGGCTCACGTCTGCGGGGGCTGTGGTTTCGTCTTGACCTTCCTGTGCTCTTGCATGCCTTTGCCCCGACCCTCCTATCCATCCTGAGGCTCGATACCAGGTCCCGTCCTGGGCATGGGGTTGCGGTGCTCGCTGGTGCTGACCTGAGGTGACACCCTGCAGGAGATTGGTGGTACCCATGCTAGAGGGCCATGACTGAGTGAGTGGGGGGGGGGTCCCTTGGGGGTCCCAACCCTGTGCCCTGTGCTGTGGAAAGAGGTAATCAACCCCGCACCCTGTACTCCTGCTGGGGAGCTCACCCTCCTGTGGGGATGGTGGGCCAGGCAAAGAGCCGAGAGGTACCACCCTGGGCTCTTTCTCGAACCCCAGCCAGACCCCTGACAGTTGGCCTGCGCCCTTGCTGGGCCCTGACTCCTCAACTCCAGGACAGGGAGGCTATGGGCCTTACTTCTGAGGCCAGTGCCTGGGACAGGGTCTGGGCAGAGACAGAGGGCGTGAGGAAACATGTCCTGGGGGTGAGCGAGCAGCAGATGAAATCCTAGCCCTGCCCCTTCTGGGCACCTGACCTTGGCGGGTTAGGAGCCTCGGTTTCCTCATCTGTGTAAAGGGGACAATACAAGCACCTGCCCCTCCCCAAGCTGCTGGGGAGAGAAGATGATGTAGTGTGTGTAAAGTGCTGGGCACAGTGTGAGTGCTCCGTACACCCCACGGGGATGGCCGTGAGGTAATCAGTACACGTGGACTGACCATGTCAACCGTCTCGGTGGGCAGGAAGGTACAGTCGGAGAAGCTACAGGAGCCCCTGCCTGGGCTCTGGGCGGTCTGCTCTGGCTCAGATCCCACATCTGCTTCTTACCAGCTGCGTGGCCTTGGCCAGTTACAGCACTGTGCCTCAGTTTCCCCATCTGAAAATGCAGATAATAAGAGTATCTCCAATGGATGTGCTTCTTGCTTAATTTAATGATTTTAAGACAGCCTGGCATCTAGGAGCCTCCTGATGCCAGTTTCAGTGGTGACTAGGGGGCAGCAGGGCCAAGAGGAGGCAAGCCCTAATCCTGGCTCTGTGCTGACTTCCCCACGTAGACTAGAGCAAATCTTTCCTTTCCCTGGGCTTCAGTTTCCTCAGCTTTTGAACAAGGGTTGGGCTCGCTCAGGGAGAGCGAGTGTGTGACAGTGTCTGACAGAGTGTGGGTCCCCGAATCCCCGAAGGGAGGGAGTATGCGTGGGCCCGAGGGGCCAGCAGGTGCAAAGCGCCGAGGCTGGCTGGTGCTGCTGGGTGGAGAGCAGACTGGGGCATCCTGAGAGGGGCAGGGTGCAACCTGCCTTGGAGCAGTGAGGGGCCTGGAGCAGTTGTTCACTTGTGCTTTCTTCCCCTCTTCCCCCCTCTAGGGCTCCCTTCCCCGGCTCCCACCCGTGGATATGATGGCAGCTCCTGCTCTGTCCTCCTGTCTGCCCCTCCTTGTCCTCTTCCTGCCCCTGGCCATCCTTCAGGCATCCTCAGTGGTGAATGGTGAGGACCCCGGCACCTGGACAGCTGTGCTTTCTCTTGGCAGGTGGACAAACCCCTGTCGGATCCCTTTCAGGACCCCTGCTTCTGGGCAGAGGCCCATCAGCTGGGGCAGGAGGCTGGGGAGGGAGGAGGCGAGGGCAATGGGACCAGAGATCAGGTGCACCACTTTCCCCGTTGGCCCATCTGTCCTGTCCCCGCTGCACCCCTGTGTCTCCTCCAGCCAAAGGAAGACCCTGGCTTTTCATGCCTGCCCTGCCTCGGCCTGCCTGAGGGACCTTGCAGGCACTGGGCTCAGTGTCGTCCTCTCTGAAATGGATCCACTGAGTTCTTTGCTGCCCACCAGGGCTGCCCACCTCCTCATCTGGCAGGCACAGGGTGCAGGGAGCAGGGAGCTGGGTGGTGGGTGGGCCCGGGGGTCCCTAGGTACCCCCCAGCCAGCAACTCATGCCTCGTCTTGTCAGCAGACACTTCCAAGCTCACATGCTTCTACAACTCAAAAGCCAACATCTCCTGTGTCTGGAGCTGGGATGGGGACCTTCAGGCCACATCCTGCAAGATCCACGCTCAGCCAGATAGACGGTAAGTGTGGGGGGTTGACCAGCAAAGCTGCAGCATCTCAGGATGGGGGGCTCTAATCACTGACAGTTAGACTCTTAGAATTCTTTCTAATAGACTCCAAGATGCTGCACTTGAGAATTTGGACTGATAGGACCCACGGACTCTGGTATCACAGAAGCCTGGAAAACACAGGAGTTAGAAGTTTAGACTCCTGGAACCAGGGCGGGAGGGAGGAGTGGGGGTCCAGGCTTTGGTGGAGGGGCCGGGGTAGTTTGGGGGACACTGGGCTGTGAGACTCCTGGGCCATAGTTAAAAGACATTAGAAGCATGCAGGGGGAAGAAAGAGGGCTCCCCAAGCTTTTTGAGAGACTCCTAGGGCAGCTGTGGGGACAGGGGCCTGGGGCATGGTTGGGAGCCTGGGGGCTGAGAGGGATTCAGGAATAGGGTTGCTGTGATCCAAATGTGGCAACAGCAAAGGTGGCTTGCAGTTTGGCTGTGGTCTTGGGTGGGTGGTGATTCCACAGGGTTCCAAAGGCTTCATCCAGCCTCATGGGAAGACTGGAGGGCTTTAGATGGGGAGGCCAACATGTCCTGGACTGCTTGTTTCTAGAAGATCACTGTGGCTACTGCGGGGCCAGGCTGGGCAGGGAAGAAAGAGGAGCTGGTGATGGGAAGTGGAGCAGGTGGGGAATGGGTGCCTCTCCTGAGGTCGGCATAGAGCCCGGCACAGGCTGGCCTTGCTGCAGTGGGGGCCATCCCGAGGGCCAGCTCTGGGGGTCCCTCCTTTTGTCCTAAAGAGTTTCTTTTGCCTTGACAGGCCTTGGAACAAATCCTGTGAGCTGCTCCCTATGCGACCGGCATTCTGGGCCTGTTACCTGATCCTCGGATCCCCAGATGTGAGTAGTGGGAGCCGAGAAGAGAGCCCAGGGTGCAGAGGGGTGTCCTTCCAGGGGCAGAGCTGGGGCCCAGTGAGCCCAGTGGCTTTGGCTCTGGGCTGCAGCACAGGGGGCTGCCCCGGGGGCAAGAGAGGTGGGAGGAAGAAGAGCAGTGTCCAAAGGCCAGAGCTCAGACTGATGGTGTGGAGGAGGGTATCTGTGGTGCAAGGGGCTCGGCCATTCAGCCTCTTCTCCCCATCTCCCCCATGCTTTGTGGGTCCTGTGACACTTCTGTACTCCTCATCAGGTTGGGGAGCGCCCACCAATAACACCCTCCTCCGATTCTTCCAAGGTCTTGGCAAGTGCAGGGCAGTGTGGGCTTAAAAGCGTGGATCCTGGAGCTGGCCTGAGCGCCAGCCCTGGCTCCATTGTCACAGCAGCTTGGTGACACTGGGCAAGTGCTGAGTCCCAGGCTTCCCTTCTCGAAATGGCAATAACGATGGCACCTGTGTCATAGTGTTCTGTGGGTTAAAGCACCTGACGTGCCACCCACCACAGAGCATGCACTTGACTTTACGGCCTGTGGATCCCTATGACTTTGTGGGTGGGCACCAGCGCTATCCTCTTCTTCTCAATGAGGAAACAGGCCCAGAGAGGCGCTGCCAGTGGGGGGCAGAGCTGGGATTGAACCCTCTAGATGGGTGTGCAGCCGTGTCCATGCGGGTGGGCAGCACATTACCATCTGTCACGCCCTGCTTGGCAGCGGCGGGCAGCAGGGATGCCCACACCACAAGTTCCAGCCATCATCAGCTCACACCCATTTGTAAGTGGCAGGAGGACGTGGAGATGGGCTCACATGGCGGGGCTGATTCAGGCGCAGCCTCTGGAACCAGTCCCTGTGAGGTCTGCAGGGGGTCTGGCTTCAGAACCTGTCCCCACCGATTCCTAGCTGTGTGACCTCAGGCACGTCCCTAGCCACTCTGAGCTTCAGTCTTCTCAGCTCCAGGGTGAGAAGAGTGACAGTGTCTGTCTCTGTAGGGTGTTGAGGGAATTAAATGAGACAACATGTGTCCAGCACGCAGAAGTGCCTGCCATGGAGGACAAAGCATTCCTGGCACCTCTATGATCTGTGACCTTAGCAAGACCTACCATTATTATCTGGAAGCATCAGCCCCCCTGCACCCCCAGCGGCTGAGGGAGGCAGGGGCAGGCCCCCAGCAGCAGGGAGATGGGAACTGCACCCAGCTCAGGTTCAGGGTGTGCTCATGGTGGGCCACCGCGGGGCCCAGACGGACCCGGACGGACTGTGCCTGGGCTCCCGGACCTGAGAACACCGTCACCTGTGAGCCGTAGGCTGCTCCTTTGGCCGTCCTGGGTCAGGCGTCACGGCCCCGGCCTGCAGTCTCCGTAGGGCAGTGGCTGCAGAGGCCTGGGTTTGAATCCGGACTCCGCTGCTGACCGGATGCGTGACTTTGAGTTTCTCCCCTGCCGTAGGAGGACGGACGGCTCGAAGAATCAGCCAGACAAGTGTCTGGGGCACCCGAGCCGTGCCTGCCCACAGGGGATGCTCAACACCTGACCATTTCCTTCCCCAAAAGTCAGGGTTGGGGGGGTGGGGGAGGGGAAGCTTTCACCCTCAAAGCTGGTGCACAGGTAGTTTTCTCGGGGGCTCATCCGGCTCGCACACCTTTGCGCTGGGGGGCTCCCTCCCTCCCACGGCAGCTCACTTCACCTCAGGCCCCCGGAACATTCAGCTGTCTGTCTCTGTAAGTGAAGTCTCAGCGGCACGTGGCCATCAGCCATGCACAGTCTCCCGCGGGTTGTGTCCGGCTGCTTTCACAGGAGGCAACGACTTGTGACCGAGACCGTTTGACCTGCAAAGCTAGAAATATTTACTCTCTGCACCCCCTCACAGGAAAACTTGGGCGACCCCGCCTTGGCGGGTGGGGCTGGTGGAAGGGCTCCACTTTTGCTTCGGTCTTGGCCTCCCCCGGCCTCCCCACCCTCCATCCCTACCTCATCCCTCCCTTGCAGGCTCAGAGTCTGACCTCGGCGGACGTTGTCGGCATGAGCGTGATGTGCCATGAAGGGGAGAGGTGGAGGATACTGATGACCCAGGACTTCAAGCCCTTTGAGAACCGTGAGTGAGGAATTGGGCAGGGGTGGGGGTGCTGGGGGGGACCGGAGCGGGCTGGGAGCCTCCTGCCCTGCCTTGCCCTCTGGGATCCTCCCTGTCCTGGCCTCTCTCTGTACCCACGTGTGACCTCTGGCTGTCCGCTGCCCTCGGAATGTAGTCCTGGCTCCTTACCCTGGCATTCAAGGCTCGGGAGCTGGCCCTGGCTTCCCAATCTAGCATTCCTGCTCTCGTGGCCTATATTGCTGCCACAACCAAAGGCCGGCTCTCTGAATTCAGCTTGCCCAACCATGCCTCTGAGCCCTTGTACTTGCCGGTGCCACAGCCGGGAAGGCTCTTCCCGCCAGGAAAGTTGGTACTCACCCTTCAAGGCTCAGGGAAGAGTCTCCTCCTTCAGGAAGCCTCCTCAGACTCTCCCGGTCCCTTGTACCTCCTCCTTCAGGGTATTTATCTTCTTTCAGGGTTCTCACTGCCTGATTATGGCTACAGCACGTTTCCCTTACTGGGCTGTGAGCTCCCTGAGGGCAGAGTGTCTGGCATCCCTATGTCTCTACTCAAAGTAGCCAGCACCAGGCCTTCACGGGGCTGTGCTCTGGGAGGGTTTTCTGAGTGACTGGGTGCTCAGCTCCATCCCCAGGCCGTGGAGGCCATCTCTCAGGAAGACAGGGCAAGACCTAGGCAGGGCTTTCAATGCAGCCCTGCCCTAACTGAATGGGATCTGCCCAGCAGATCATTTTTGCCCAGTGAGAATGGGGAAAATCGGTGAACTGCAGACCCGGATTGTAGTAAGGACTCTGTGAGCCAGACAAAGAAGCTGCTTAGCACACGCTCAGTAGACATTTACTTAGTGTTATTTGTCTAGTTCTACAGAGTTCCAGAATTCTAAAAACTTAAGTCTGTTTAACGTCAGGATCATAAAATCTTATAATCCCATAAGATCACTGAAATTCAATTAAATTACATGAGATGATCCATGTTAAAGCTCTCAGATCCATTCTGGATGCTCACGCTCTGGTGGGGGAGACAGAAAATGAAAAAAGAGCCCCAAATAGATGTTTGACATGTCAGGTGGTGCAAGTGCTGGGCAGGAAAATAAAATAGGTTGGTGTGTTGGGGGGGCAGGTAGAGAGCTGTGGATGGTGGGAGAAGGGTTCTGCAAGCAGGTGAGGATCCCTGGGGAAAGAGCACCTGGGAGGGAGAAAGAGCAGGTGGGAAGGTAGTGGTGGGAGCCCTTCTGAGCTTCATCCCCTTAGCATCGTGACCCAGCATCCCCCAAGCTCACTGTCCCTTCCTCTCTCCTGCCTCCAGTTCGCCTGATGGCTCCCAATGGCCTCCAAGTCGCCGATGTCGGGACCCACAAATGTAACATAACCTGGAAAGTCCCTCAGTCCTCCCACTACATCAAAAGATACCTGGAGTTCGAGGCTCGGAAGAGGTCCCCAGGCCACAGCTGGGAGGTGAGCGCACCACCCGGCCCCCACCTGCCCCGGTCCCTCCCTCCTGTCCTGATCACCCTGTCCATCCTTCACTCCACAAGGCCACAGCAGCCCCAGGCAGCCCCAGCCACTGCTCTGTACTGGCACCTCCAGCCTCCCCTCCTGGGATGTGCCCCCCCACAACCTGGGGGTCCTAGCTGGAGGGGGGGTGCCAGGCTGGCCCCGGGGCAGGATTTTACATAGCCACGAGGCAGGTGATTGGCCTCGGAGATTTCAGGGGCCCTGGGAAGCCACCTCTCCAGTGTGGTCCACATCCCCCAGGGTCTCCCACTTCCCCAATCACTGTTCTCCCGTATTTGCTCGCTCAACACTCACTGAATATTTACTACCCGCTGACTAGGCGCTGGGTGCTGGAGAAGCGGGTGGAGGGCAAAACTGGGAGCTTCCTGTGCTCAGGAAGCCCACATGGAGGGGAGTGGGAGACGGTCTGCAGAGGCGGAGATTGGAGACTACGGGACTTTGATACATGCTATCAAAGGAAATGAAATGGGATTGCACATTTGGGGGGGCCTGGGACAGGCTGCTTGGGACCCAGGGAGCCTTGTGAGATCTGAGGCTTAAGAAGGAGCTGACCCTGCACAGATCTGGGGGACGGTTTCCCAAGCAGAGGAGACAGATGCTGCTGAGACAAGACGTGGACTGTGTGTCTGAGGAATGAGGGGAAAAAAGCAAAAAGAGTGACCCAGTGGTGGGAGAGGTCTCTGGGAAAATGCTCTTTCTGGTTAGAGCGTAGCAGAGTTGGGAGCACGGAGACCAGCTCCTGCCTGAGCCTCGGGAAGGGCAGAGGGGAGAAGGGGAAGTGTCCAGAACTGGTTCCGCAGGTGGAACCAGCAGGTTGGCAGCTGGGTTTGGTGCCTGGGGGATGAGTGAGGGGCTCAGGATGCCCTTGTGGTTGGGGGCCCCAGCACTGAATAGTCAGGGAGCCTATGTGGGATTGTCGAGGAGACTGGCTGGGGGAAGAGGGTGGCTGGGGGGGGGCGGGAGGAAGGTGCTACTGCTCACCTCCCAGTCCCCCTGCCATGGAAAGGGAGGCGGCCACGGGGACCCCTCTGCTCTGACAGCTCCCCATGCCCGTCTCTGCCCCAGGAGGCTTCCCTGATGGCCCTCAGGCAGAACCAGCAATGGATTTCCCTAGAGACACTCACTCCAGACACCCTGTATGAATTTCAAGTGCGGGTCAGGGCCCAGAGAGGCAGCCACAAGACTTGGAGCCCCTGGAGTCAGCCCCTGGCCTTCAGGACGAGGCCTGCCGGTACCAGTGGGCAGAAGGGGTGGGACAGAGCTCAGGTGGGAGGGGGTGGCTGGGGTGTGACCTGGGGCAGCTGGTGGGGGAGGCCTGAGGGTGGGGGGTACAGGGCTCACCTGCTATTGTTAGCTCACTCAATGTGACCCTGCAGGGGGAGTCAAGGGTGGGGGGCTGCTCACACCTGGAAGCCTCGGTTTTCTCATCTGTAAAAAGTGGGTACTGTGCTCCCTGGCAGGGCGACTGTGAGGAGGCACGCAATGCCCCCTTGTCGGCCTGACACACAGCTGGTCTGCTGGGCCAGCCGGGACCTGCGAAGGCCTTGCTTGGGTCAGGGGTCAGCCTGTGCCTCGGCACCAGGGCCTAACCCTTCTCCTTGCTTCTCCTCCCACCTCTGGGCAGCCCAAGGGAAGCAGTCTCTGCCCTTTCCTTGGTTCGGCCACATCATCATGGGCGTCACCGGTGCCTTTGGCTTTATCATCTTGGTCTACTTGTTGGTCAACTGCCAGTACATCGGGCCATGGTAAGAGCCCTCCCTGCCTGCCCCTTCGTGCTCTTATCTGACACGCACGCACCCCCTGCCAGGCCAGGCTCTGGGCCCAGCCCCCTGCTCCGACACACAGTGCTCCCTCGGCCTTCCCCCAAGTCCTCCCTGCCTAACGTCTGGCCTTTCCTGTCACCCATCCTCAAAGATGGAACCCCACGGAACCAGCCTGAGGGGAGCCGGGGAAGGAGAGCCCCATGGAGGCCCTGCCCAGAGCATTACTCTTGGACATGGAGGTTGTGTGTGGGGGGGCACATGTGTGTATGCGTGTGGGCACGTGTCAGCTGTCGCTGTGTGTGTGTGTGTGTCCTCATGGATCTCTCTAGGTCCCGGCATTCATTCGTTTATTCCTTTATTTGTTGAGCCCCAGCTCAGTGCCAGGCCTGGCGCCGAGTGCTGGGAATAGGGAGGCAAGCCACACGCATGTGGTTCCACCTTCATGGAGCTCACGGTCCCGTGGGAGGAGGAGGATGTCTATTAATCATACACAAATACAATGACACACCGTAGTAGGATGGTAACGGAAGGTACCAGTGGACTGGAAGCAGACAACGGGAGAGGAACCTTGGTTGAGGGGTGGCTGGCAGAAGCATGCCCAAGGGAGTGACGATTCCCTGAAAATCTGGAGGACTAAGCAGGCAGGTGGAGGGGACGGGGAGTGCACCCCCAACAGAAGAAACAGGGTGTGCAAAGGCCCTACGTGGGAAAGAGTAAAGTGCACGACAGCGGCTGAGGTGTGGCTGGAGACCAGAAGGGGGTGAGGAGAGGGCTGACCTGAGCCTGAACATCTAGGGGGGCAGCCAGGCTTTCTGGGGCCTTAAGGCCAGGACCGCATTTTGAGGCAGGTTCATACAGAGACCAAGGCACTCATCTTGAAAAGTGGAGCATGGGCTAGAATGCAGCCCCCCACTCACTCCACCCATAAAACCAGGTGCCCTTGGGCAGTGCACTGCCTGAACCACCATCCATGATAGCCTGGACTAGGAGACCCACAGTCCGGCCTGTCTCCTATCTCCCTCCTCCTGGTTCTCTTTAGCCCAGACACCTGGCTCTGTGTGGCCCCTGACCACTCTGGCTGCTGTGGTCCCCCACCCCACATCCTTCTCTAGCACAGCCCTCTGCTTTTTGTTTCCACAGAATGAATGGTCATGTTGCACAGGTGGTTCGTGTTGGTCTCCTCGTTAGAATGTCAGCTCCTTGAGATCAGGGACCTTCTCTGTCTGCCATCCTTGTGTCCCCAGGACCCAGCCCAGTACCCCCCATTACGGGGCATCCGCTTGATGCTGATCCAGCTGATGGCTGTGGACTGGCTCTGTGCCCTACCTTCAGGGCTGCGGGGCGCTGGCAGGACACCGGGGCCCCCTCCCGACTCATCCTCCTCCCCACCCCTCCCCTGTTCAGGCTGAAGAAGGTTCTGAAGTGCCATATCCCAGACCCCTCGGAGTTCTTTTCCCAGCTGAAGTCAGAGCACGGAGGAGATTTCCAGGTAGGAGTCGGGACGGAGGGTGGGCAGAGGTGTGAGTGGGTGGTGGTGGCACAGGAGTCCACTGGCACTTCTGTGTTTTTTTAAGATTTTTTTTATTTATTCGAGAGAGAGGCAGAGACACAGGCAGAGGGAGAAGCAGGGTCCCTGCAGGGAGCCCGATGTGGGACTCGATCCCGGGACTCCAGGATCTCGCCCTGAGCTGAAAGCAGACGCTCACCCCTGAGCCATCCAGGGGCCCCTGAGGTTTGCGCTTTGTGAAAGGAGACAGATCCTGAAGTGAGCGGACCCTGGGCTGGGTGTGGGCCCGTTTGCCAGCTCTGGCCCCAGCCCTCTCTGACTGAATGGTGCCCCCGGCTGAGCCAGGCTGCCCGGGCTGCCTCCGGCTCCGGCCCTCCTGGCTGTGTGGCCTTGGGCACGTTGTAGAACCTCTCTGTTCTGATTCCTCACTTGTCAAATGCGGAGGGAAATAGCGTTACTGGCGTGGGCCTGAGCGCACCGCCCGGCACACGGTGAGGGCTCAAGGGGCCCGAGCGGGAGTCGCCGTCACCAGGCTGGGCTGACCCAGAGGGACTTGCCAGCTCTCCCCGTCCCACCGTCTTCGCGGGCAGTGCTGTCTCTTGTCCTGCTGCAAAAATCGTCTAAACGAGCTCCATACCTTCTCCCCAATGGTAACAAGTCCAAGCCACTTCTCATCAATCGAAGCAGATTCACTGGAAAAGCACCGGCCCAGATAGTAGTAACACTCTGAACCCCACTTCAACCTCAGTTGTCTCGCTGCCCTGAGCCCACACTTGCTTCAGGAAGGAAGTGTTGAGGGGGAACAGGGTTGTGGTGGGCTGCTTCTAGCACCCTCCCCTCCCCAGGCTCTCTAGATGGGGCGGAGGATGAGGTAGGGGTGGAGGGAGGACGGGAGGAGTGCTGAGGGACTGGAAAGCCAGACTTGGGCCCAAGCTGTCAAGAGTTGGCTTTGGAGTCCTCTACTATGACTGATCAGGGCTCCTTCTGGAATTCTTTGGAAAGCTCCCAAGACTGCGGATGGCTCACCTACAGCTCTCTTGATGTGGGGGAATGTATCTCCTTAGATTCTTCCTAAAGCCCTAGAGGTGGTGAGCTCCCTGTCAACAGAGGCATTCAAGCAAGCCTCGGCTGACTCTCTGTCAGAAGCAGAGCAGAAGGGATTCCTGGCTGGAGGCTGCATTAGATGCATGTCCTCTTCCGGGGTGAAGTCTTTCTGATTTTATGGGACTAGGACATTTTGAAGGGGAGTGTGTTCCTTCCTGAGAGGTGCAAACAACTCCATGTTCCCATGGTCTCGATGCTTGCCCCAGACCGAGGGTGTGGGAAGGGCTATCCCAAGAAGCCCTGGAGGTACACAATGCGGTTGGGGGTCAGGGCGGCAAGGGGGACCCCACCTCTCCTCTGCATCTGGGTGGGGGGCCTGCTCCTCTCTCTTACCCCAGGGCCTCTGGCTACCAGGCCACAAGGCCCACCGCCCTGCCCCAGGACGTGGGCGTATGCGTGCCAGTGTATGAGTGAGTGGGAAGGGGGTCAGTTTCCCCTTGCGCCCCCCTCCCACCCCACTTCAGGGCACTGTGGACGGAGGCCCAGGCCCAGGAAGTGGCTGACTGCACACACCTCAGAGGGGTGCTGGCAAGGCCCTGGCACACCAGGGGGGGGGTCACGGGCCTGGCCTCCCCCTGTTCCTGGCTGCGTCTCAGCACTGCTGCCCAGCCCTGCCCTCTGTCACGGCTCCTTCTAGGGCCAGACCTCCCGCTGCCCCCACCCCTGACCTGCACCCTGTCCCTCTCTTCCCAGCCCACTGGGCACCGGAGTGTAGGAGCCATTGGGCCTGGTCCCTGTGCTCAGGGTCCCACAGCCTAGGTGCTGAGGGCTCCCAGGACAAAGGGCTGTTGGGGTTCTCAGCCGCACCCCCTGCAGCCCCCGTCACACCACCCTGATGGCCTGCTGTCCCTTGGGTAGCCTGCATTTTACCCCACAGTCTGCACTTCACCCCACACCCTACACTTCACCCCACAGCCTGCATTTTACCCGAAGCCTGCATTTTACCCCACACCCTGCATTTTACCCCCACAGCTGCATTTTTACCCCATAGCCTGCATTTCACCCCACAACCTATGTTTCACCCCACAGCCTGTATTTCACCCATTTCACCTCAGAGCCTGCACTTCACCCCACAGCCACGTTTCACCCCACAGCCTGCATTTCACCCCACAGCCTGCGTTTCACCCCACAGCCTGCATTTGTACCCCATTCCACCTTCATTCTCTTACTTGACATCTTCCTGCTGGCTCACAGTAGGGAAGTTAGGAAAGAGGTTGTGGGATTGAGGTCCAGAGAGGCGCAGTGGCCTGCCCGGGGTCACACAGTTAGCGAGAGGGCCGGGGCCAAAGTGGGAGCCCAGCTCTCCCTGCTCCAGATTCCGGAGCAACTGGCAAGCGCTCTGGTGGGCACTCTCTTGTCTCCGCGGAGGTGAGGGCGCGTGTGGCGGGTTGGGGCCACGGGCACAGGGTGGGAGAGGAGACTCGCAGGACCATCGGTCCCCACTGGAGATTTGTTCACGGCAGCCTGGGCCGGAGCCTGGCTGTGCGATCGGTGCCACGGCATGTCCCCCCTGGGCATCTGCGGAGGGAGCAAAACGTACCCCAGTGCCCTTTCTGTGCTGATTTGTACACTCGTGCCCGCCCCCGCCAGACGCATGAGGGTTCTCCCCTCGGCCTCTCCCCTCTGCTGGCGCCTAGAGCAGTGCGGGGCTCCCAGTAGGGGCTCGACCGACAGTTACTCCCAGAAACAACACCCACCCCCCCACCCCACACCTCCAGTAAGTGTGCTCCCGGGGCTGACCTAGAGCGTCCCCCAAGCCACTTAGTGGGTGGGGGTGGGGTATGGTCAGGGAGGCCTGCCTGGAGGTAGCCGCCCAGAGTAGACTGTAGTTAGGAGTTGTTGCTGAGAGTCTGAGGGACGCATCCCGCTCACCTTCCGACCGCTCTTTCTCCCGGCAGAAGTGGCTCTCCTCGCCCTTCCCCTCGTCCTCCTTCAGCCCCAACACCCAGGCACCTGAGATCTCCCCGCTGGAGGTGCTGGACCGGGACGCCAAGGCCACACAGCTGCTTCTGCTACAGCAGGAGAAGGTGCCCTCAGCCTCAACTGAGACCAGCGGCCACTCGCTCACCAGCTGCTTCACCAACCAGGGTTACTTCTTCTTCCACCTCCCTGATGCTCTGGAGATTGAGGCCTGCCAGGTGTACTTCTCCTATGACCCCTGTGCAGAAGAGCCCGAGGAGGGCGGGCCTAGGGCACCCGAGGGGTCTCTGCCCCTACCCCAGCTGCTTCTGCCAGGGGAGGACGATGCCTACTGCACCTTCCCCCCTGGGGATGACCTGCTGCTCTTCTCTCCCGGGCTCCTGGGTGGCCCGGGCTCCCCAGACACTGCCCTGGGGGGCGCTGGGGCTCGGGAAGAGAAGCTGCCCCCCTCTCTGCCGGAGGGAGTTCCCAGAGACTGGGCCCCCCAGCCCCTGAGGCCTCCCACCCTAGGAGTGCCTGACTCCATGGATATCCAGCCACCCCTGGAGCACGCACTGGGAGAAGCAAGAGAGGCGGTCCCAGCCCCTGGCCCCAGGGAGGGGGTGGGCTTCCCCTGGGCTACCCTTCCCGGTGGGGGCCAGCTCAGGGCCCCTACCTCCTGCCTGACTCTGAACCCCGATGCCTACCTGTCCCTCCAAGAGCTGCAGGATCAGGACCCAGCTCACTTGGTATAGAGGGACAACCAGGCAGGTCGCATCCGGACGTCTCTGCCCAGGGGGCCCCCACCCAGCCCTTCACACCCCGCTGTTCACTTCCAAACAATAATTGCTAATTGCTGCTCGCTGGTCCTGTGGCCCAAGTCAAGAACTGCAGCGGGTGGGGGCGCTGTGACTCCCCCCTCCCCCTTCAGTCATAGAGTCCCACGGCTTTTCCTCTGAGGCCTCATCCATCCTCTCCAGCCCTGCAAGTACTCTTCAGGGAGCATTCTCGGGGGTTCTACAGGGATCTTCACAGGGTCCTCCTCACTGGGGGCTTCCTGCCCCAGGCCCATCCCCTTTCACCCCTATCCACGGTAGCCAGAGTGCTCTCTCTGAACCACAACTATGGCTCTGCTGCCCCTTGTTTAAAACCCTGCCATGGCTCCCCCACTTCCCTCAGCACCACTTCTTGGCCGGGCTCTTGCCCCTCTGGCATCATGTTGGGACATTCTCCTCCGGAACCCTCCCAATGGTCCTACTGAGCCACCAGCAGCTCCCTCATGCACCCAATCTTTGCACACGCTGCTCCTTGTACCTGCGGTGCCCCCTCCTCTCTCATCTAGGTGACACTCCCCTTACATCTCAAGTGTCCTGCTTCCCTTAGAGGGAAACACTGCCTCCATTAACGTGTCCCCGCTTCGAGATTCAGCGCTGGCGGGACAAGTTCTCAGGGTCACGGGATGGCTAGACAAAGAGGCCCTGTCACTTCACCCTTGGGATCTTTTGTGACCTCAGAATACTTAGCGACTGCATCCTTAACCACTGCAGCCCAAGTATGGACGCGAATGTCAGAAGGAAAGTGGGACACTGGCTCTGGATCTTTCCATAGCGGTTCCACAGATTCATAAGGCATGCTGCTGGAAAGCAAACCTCTCCTAGTGGCAGGTCTGATGCTGTCACAGGGGGTCTAGACTGCTGTTGGGGGGACCTCTTCTGCACCCTCTACTGGAGGATCTCTTCAGCAGCTCAGGGGCTGGCACACCGCCTCCAGAAGGGCAACTCTGCTCACTGCACTTGACACAGTGTGCTTGGCACCCATCCTACTCCCTGGATGAATTAATGAACTATCTGGGGCCATAGTTGCTTGGACTCCCTGTGCACAGCTGCCTCCACACAGGGGACAGCATCCCCTTCTAAGGGCAAGACTCAGGCCGAGCCCCGTGCTCACTAGGTGCCAGCATGGCCATTCCAGCAAGAGGCTCATCCCCTTACGTGGCAATCCTCCCCCCAACACAAACATAGACACACGCAGCTGCCCCCTTCCTCCTGGGTGCTTCCCAGCACCTCTCCATTTCCCTTCCCATCGTCCCTGGCACAGATCACCCCTGCGAGGCCTGTCACACCCTCCTCCCAGACCAGGCACCCGAGGCGCCCATACTTATAGGCCCTGCTCCTACCTGGTTAGGCCCCGGATGCAAGCCCACCCATCAGCTGACAAGCAGCCTACAGGCCGGCTTAGAACAGAAGCTCTGCCCAATCAGAGAGGCCCGGCCTGAAGTGGCCAATCAGATTGCTCTCAGTCTTGGGGCTGAGCTCAAGGAAGGAGGGAAGGCCCTGGGAGTAGGTGCTCGAGGAGAAGGTGCTCAGAGAAGCCTGGGGTGGAGGCCTTCAGCCGGTTAGCAGAGGGGCATCGGGCCCTGCTACAGAGACTCCTCCTGCCACTGGGGCTACCGACTGTTCACTCAAGATTCTTGTTTTCCTTATGTCTGAAATAAACTCCCCTTTGCTGAGGTTGTCTGGGTCTTGGATCCTTCCCACCACAGAGCTTAATTACCTGGGCATCTCACTTCCCATCTCCTGCCATTCGATGCCATGTGTGCTGGGCCACCAAGCTCCTCAGTCCTGGCCTGAGCATCAGACCCCAAGCTCCGTGCCCGGGGAAACTGTGAAACCTCCCTGCGGGTCAGTTTCCACTTTGAAGAGTTCTTGGAGCAGTTACTTTTCTCAAGCCTTGGTCATTTGTGTTAGACATATTGTCAATGACCTGTGTATGCGATCTCTGTTATTGTTTACTTAATGTTTTTTCTTCAAATCCATTCACTTTTTTGTTTAAATACTTTTATTTAAGGAAAACTCTTTGTATTACTTCTGTAAATGGAAAAGCTGATATTCACTATGAATAAAAGAGAACTGTAAAAAGTGAATACAATAAAGCTGATATTTGCTATAAATAAAAGATAACTGTAAAAAGTGAATACAATAAACTGTAAAAACGAATACAATGTCACAATTCATTGTCTGCTGGAAGTCTGCTCTCTTAGTTTACAGGAGGGATTACCAAGTGTTGGGAGGCTGTTGAAGACATGACATGCCAGTACCAAACAGTGAGAAAGCAAAAAGATTGGGGTGCCTGGATGGCTCAGTGGTTGTCATCCCCCCGGGTCCTGGGATCCAGTCCCACATTGGACTCCCTGCTGGGAGCCTGCTTCTCCCTCTGCCTGTGTATCTGCCTCTCTCTGTGTGTCTCAAGTGAATAAATAAATAAAATCTTTAAGAAAAGAGAAAAAAGAAAAAGCAAAAAGATTGTAAAAGGAATATCTTTTTCACTATTAAGAGTCAGGTCTATCTCATTCTGTGTCTAGGCACCATCTGACATGGTCTCATGGGAAAATACAAATAAAATATATAAAACATAATTGATATGTATATTTACTATAATATAAATTAATATAATATAAACAGAATATAAAATAAATATAAATAAAATGAGTATATATATATATATATATATATATACATATATATATATATAAATTTTAGTTCTTCAGTGCCTTTGACTCTGAATAGTTAGGCCAGATCATAGATGGCAGTATCTGGTATTCATAAAACTGCACCTGTGGCAGACATCACTAATCAATTGCAACCCACTCATGGCAGACATTGCAGACTGATCACGGCTGTCCTTCCTGCAGTCTGAGTACAGCTTTACACCCTGTAGGCGGGTCCTGATTGATCATAGCTGACTCTTGGCAACATATCTGGTCCATATCATCCCTCATCCCCCTTCCACAGTGGAGGGGCTTCTCTTTCCAGACCCTGATTTTCCAGACAGGGTAAACTGAGGCTGAAATGTTGAAGGCTGGAAAGCTGAGTGGGGCCTATGAACAGGCAAATCTAGAGAACCCAGCCGTCCCCACCATGTCAGATGAGAGACTTGAGCTGGTGGTGAGCAGAATGAGGGGTTGCTTACCCCAGGTGGACTGATGGGCCAGAAGCCACAGCGTGACAAGTCCAGGGTGGATTAGAGTTTGTGCCTCGGGAGATGGAGCCAAGGAAGGAGCAGCTGGTGGGGGCAGAAAGGGTGAAGCAAAGACAGTCCTGCCTGGGTCAGATTGCAGGGAGAAGAGCGGTGCCAGCTGGGGACCAGGCAGCGAGGGCCCCAGGAGATCTGTCAGGTGCAGAGTGGGAAGCAGGAGGCATCCGGGGCAGATCAGGGGATAAGACAAAAGGAGGGAGAGGAGGGCAGGCCTTCCAGCCTCCACATCTCCAATTTCGTTTAAATTTTTAATTTAAATTCATCTTAATTAACATATAGTGTACTAGTTTCAGAGGTAGAACCCAGTGATTCATCAGTTGCATATAACACCCAGGGATCATTATGTCATTTGCCCTCCTTAATGCCCGTCACCCACTTACCACATCCCCCCACCCACCTCCCCTCCAGCGACCCTCAGTTTGTTTCCCAGAGTTAAGAGTCTCTCATGGTTTGTCTCCCTCTCTGTTTTCCTTATTTTATTTTTCTTTCCTGTCCCCTATGTTCATGTTTTCTTTCTTAAATTCCACATATGAGTGAGATTATGTGATAATTGTCTTCTTCTGATTGACTTGTTTTGCTTAGCACAATACCCTCTAGTTCCATCCACGTCATTGCAAATGGCAAGATGTCATTCTTTCTGATGGCTGAGTAGTATTCCATTGTGTGTAGATACCACATCTTTATCCACTGATCTGTTGACGGACATCTGTGCTCTTTCCATAGTTTGGCTATCGTGGACATTGCTGCTATAAATATTGGGGTGCAGGTACCCCTGCTGATCCCTACACCTGTATCTCTGGGGTAAATACCTCGTACTGCAATTGCTGGGTCATAGGGTAGCTCTATTTTCAACTTTCTGAGGAACCTCCACACTGTTTTCCAGAGCAGCTGCACCAGCTTGCATTCCCACCAGCAGCATCAGAGGGTTCCCCTTTCTCCGCATCCTCACCAACATCTGTAGTTTCCTGACTTGTTCATTTTCCCCATTCTCACTGGTGTGAGGTGGTATCTCATTGCGGTTTTGATTTGTATTTCCCTGATGCCGAGCGATGTCGAGCATTTTTTCATGTGCCTGTTGGCCATGTGGAGGCCTTTGGAGAAACGTCTATTCATGTCTTCTGCCCATTTCTTTTTATTTTTTCTTCTGCCCATTTCTTGACGATTTTGAGTTTGGACTGTATTGTTTCATCATCTCCCCCATTATCCCGTGTCCCCGCTCTCTCCCCATGTTCTAGCTCTCACTCCAAGCAACTTCCCAGCGTCCAGTCACTGAGCAAGTTATGGTGGAAACTGGCCATCCTAGAATGAATAGCCTACCTCTGCCCTCTTAATTATTGGCATCCTGGATGACTCCAAGAAAAGATCAAGAAGCACGTTTAGACACTGAGCCAGGCACTAATCAAGCATTATCCTTATTACCTGAAAAGCCCCAGCAAGGCAGGTATTATGTTCCCCATTTCGCAGATTAGGAAACTGAGGCTCAGGGAGTTTAAAAATGCAGCTGATGGGTGGTAGAGCCAGGATTTAAACTCCTGTACAATTGGCCGCGGAGCTTTTATCCCTTCACCGACATAGAGCTGCACAGGAGACAATTATATTCTTGGAAAAAAATGAGCAAAATCCCATCCTAAGCTTCCTGGTAACCAATTAAAAAATGAACGCAGGAGCCCACTTGCTAAGATTGTAATTGTAGTTGAAACCATCCCCACCCTGTGACCCAGCGACATCACGTTGAGCTCAGATCCCTATTCAGCCTCCTCCTCGGTCCACCTGGCCCCCGCCACCTGCCCTCCGATCCCTGCACCTCCTCGGCCAGCTGTATCCCAAACTGGCTGAAGTGTAGCTGAGCCTGTCTGGCCGAAGCCCCGTGCAGCAAGTCACTCTCCCTCCTCAGTTTAGGAGATTCCTTTAGGACCTTCCCATGCCGGGTGTTTCTGGTAAAGGCTCTGGCTGTCCCTTTACTTGTCCATGTCCCCCATGGTCACTCCCCTGCCCAGGGCAGAGGATGCTGCAGACGGGGCCCTGGCCAGCCTCCCCTCTGGGGCCAGTGCGTGGCATGAGGCCAGGTGCACAGAGGAAGATGATGCGTCTCCTGCCAGCTCCTCCCTCCCTCTGCGTCCTGGCTTCCTGGAATTGTAGCCTGGGTACCTCTCCCCCGAACCTGTATCTCTCTCCCCACTCAGCACTTCCGGGCTTGCTTTCCCACAGCCCTTTGCCACCCACCCCCCCACCCCGCCCCCCAGGCCCTGTGATGGAAGCGTCAAGTGTGTCATACGGCGGTGGTGGAAAATGTCTCTGAGCAAGTCAGCCAAGGGGATGTCCCGGGGCTGTCACAGTGGTCAGGCCCAGACGCTGGGACTGAGCTAAGTTTCATCAACAACCCAACCACCTCCCCCACAGCCCCCAACAACAGTGGCCTTGAGTTCTTAGGATGCAGGGGTGAGCACCCAGGGTACCGTGCCCCCCACCGAACTCCCCATTTGGCCTGGGACATGCGCTGTCCTCTTGTCCTCACCGGTGACACAGAACTCAGAATCTTGGTCGTTCGTGTTTTACTGGGTCGCTGAGACATCGTGTGAGATCCTAGATATGCTTGTGCTTTAAAATTAGTGAAAGCCTGCCCTTTTAAGGCCAAAGTCCTGCTGGTTCAAATCCTTGCTTCACAGCGTTCTAGCTGTGTGGCTTGGGGCGAGTCATTAACTACTCTGTGCCTTAGTCTTCTCTTCTGCAAAATGGGGTAAGAATGGTATCTCCTTTCTCCCTCGTGGTGTTCTTATAAGGATCAAATTGAGTTAATAACACAATGCGTTTTGAATGGAGCCTGATGCGTGCTAAGAGCTCCATAAATGCAGCTCTTGAAGAGACCTGATGGCTTGAGAATGTTCCAGCATGGCCCTCACAGGACCTTATGCTCACAGTGGTCCCTCCCCACACCCCAGCACCTGCCACGGGATATGTTCACTGAGTTAATGTGCATATTGGTAACAGGTGAAGGGAGGAAGGAGAGAAGAAAGGGAGAGGAGGGCAGGAGAGCTAAAGAGGTTCCAAGAACCTGGACTTGTATGTGAATTGGAACCGATGTGGCCAGCAGAAGGGACAGAGCCTGCAGGCACTGGGAGCTCTCACAGCCCCACCAGGGACTGATGACACAAGTTACTCAGGGGGCCTGAGCTGCTCTGAATGCTTCCTCTGAAGGGTGGCAAGAAAGCAGCTCCTTGTAGAACCTTCTATGCTTCAGCCTCGGATGGTGCGCCCCTGGAGCTGGACCAAACTGAACTCCTTGGAGGGAGGAGCCCTGGCTATAACAATATTTTGAGGACCCTCTCCCCAAATTTACACATATATGTTGAAACTTGGGATTCTGTGTGCCTTGGACGTTTCGTTTTTATTGACTATCTGCCTGATGGCTTGCATGTAGAGTGACACTGTTGCTCTTTCATTTTATTCTTAAAATTTTATTTTGGGGCAGAGTCCAGGGAGGAGCACAGGACTGGCAACAGGTAATTTGGATTGAGTCTGGCCCTGTTGCCTGACCTCCCCCCGGCCACCTTGGGTCTCCAGCTCCCAGGGTATTCTGGGAGCCTCTGCTGCTGGGCAGGACCGCACAGTGGAGGAGGCCAGGCTGGGTGACACACAAGGAGTTTCCATTCTGTGTCCCCAACTGACTGTGGCTTGAGGAGGCACGGCTCAAACCCCAAGCCCCTGATCAGAAGCCACTTTCCTGACCTCTGACTGGGAAAGCTTCAAAGGGCTGGGCAGGGGCCACGCCTGCGACAG